GCCTGGCGTAGTTTGATTATGTTTTAGTGGGGGTTTTGTATGGGGTACTTTTAGAGCAGGCCTGTTATTTAATTTGATTTTAGAACAGAAACTTGTGTATATTTATCGTGGTTTTTTATTATCGCCTGTTCACCGCCCTGAGTCCCGTAAGGGAGATAGGGCGGTATATAAATTCAATAAATAATAATAATAATAATAACTGTTGAATCTCTTCTGAAACCCAATTTACTGAAAATTAAAGAAATGGTTTTCCTAGGAGTCTGAAGGAAGAGCAGCCGGGGGGGGGGGAGCAAATGTACACCTTACAAACTTGCCTTTGACATTGAAACAGCTTTACTCAGGATGTCATGACACATGTTTCAAAATGTTGGCATCATTGCAGTCCTGATTGGGTGCCTTTTTGAGAAATATATGATTTTAGACATCAGTGAATGGGTCAGGCTACTTGAGAGACCATCTCATCCCACTGGAATTGGCCTGTCTCACCCATGCTGGCAGAGGAGGAATGCTGCAAGTCCTGTCAGCCTGATTATTCTGCCTGAGTCCAGAAGGGCCTTCTCTGCTGTTGTACCTGCCCTGTGGAACATCTTGCTCCTCGATGTGAGGTTGGCCCCCATTGGCCACGCCCTCTTGACCTTCCAGAAGATCCTAAAGACCTGGCTCTGTTTGTTAGCCTGGGGCTTCAATGGGGGAGAATCACAGTGAATGTGATTGATCGATTAACAACAGATCTCCCCTCCCCATCTCCCTCCTGCTCTCCCCGTTTTTTAATTGGGTCATAGTGCTTGGCTTTTGTATTGACTTATGCTTTTCGTTTATACAGTTTTTATTTTTTATGATTGTAAACCACCCAGAGTTATCCTGAGGTAAGATGAGCAGCCTATAAATTTTATTAATAAATATATAAATAATAAAATAGGCTTCATACAGTAATGGTATGTAGGAATGAGACCGGCAGAGAGATGCTGTCTAGGAAACAGATAATGGGCAGAAAAAGAGGCTCAGAAAGGACCCTTCTCCCAATCTCAGGTTGCAAAGGAGATGGCACAAGTTTCAGACTTGCAAGATTTTATTAATGTAGCCTTACAATAAAGTAGAATTAGCCCATCAGGCCATGTTTTCTGTCTGTTATTCTTGGGAAGACTGATATTAATCGTGTCCTGCCTCACCCAAACCATACGAAAATATTGTCCTAGGTGTGTCAGCTCTCCTGCTTTGCATCACTGCCACATCCACTGAAGCCTCATTCTTCAAAAAAATAAAATCATACGCAAGTAAAATATTGTATCTATTATGAACATACCAGGTTGGCAACGTACAAACTCTATTTTTTAAAAAATCATACCTACTGCTGCTGCTGCTTTTACTTTATTTCTTACATAAGTGTGACTAGCTGGGTTTTCTCCTACTAAAACAACAGTGAGATGAGGTCTCTTGTGGCCAAGGGTAAGCCATGATTTGATATCTCTTTGTATTTCCTCACAGACTTGTGCAGCCAGTCTTCTCCCTGAGATAATAGTTGCTTCATTCCTACAAGAGATAAAACGAAAACTTTAAAGAGAATCCGTCTAAACTTTTACAGCCAAGGAAATTACAATATAGCACTATTCACACTTTAAAACATATAAAGTATGTTTTATTGCAGCACATTTAGTTGTTGGACAATTCATGTGAACATGTAATATTTGAAGAGAGGCTCATTCAATATTAAATTCTATATTGGAACAAGATTTTTGGAATGGCAAATTCCTCTAGCCTGATCCTACCATCTTCTGAAGATTGCCCCTTAAGATTGCCCCTTAAGCTTTCAGATTCAGCTAGGGCTTCATTCTGGTCTGTTTCAGAAGTGCCTAGCAAACTATAGGTTAATGCAACATCTCTGAGTGAGATGAATCCTTTTTCATAGATAAAATTATTAGCATCGCAATAAAATGCTTTGAAAATAATTTTCATAAATAATTTGACAACCTACATTTCTAGCAATTATTGTCTTCTAATAATATCCACAAAATAAAGGTAGGAGGGAAAGGAAAGGGGGTGTGGGAATTGGAAATATCAGTCTATTACCATTGTAGTGGAGTTGATATATTGAGGGATAGTATTCAGCAGAATGTGGTATTAATAAAGATAGTCAATTTAATAAAGTGTTGAAAGCAGTCTTAGGAAAGTGAAGCAGAGAATGTATTTGTGTTTAAAGAAGAGGGTATAACATTGGTTCAAGCCTCCCTTGCTGATTAGACCTTGTGATGCAGTTAAAAAAAACCTGCATGAGGAAGGCTGAAGAACATGTTCTAAGACTAAAAGGCTGAGTGCCATTGAAGCATTCTGCAAAAGGAGCAAAAGATTAAGAGACAACCTCTGGCTAAAATCTAGATTGCAAAGAAGAGTCCCGAAGCCCTGGGCAAAGGATCCATCTAATGTTTAGGATGTCAGAGGGTTGAGAAATACTATCAAAACTAAACAAATTTCATTATGAATAAGGTAGGATGTTTAATCATTATTTACTGAACAAACCATAATACCCAACTTCACAGATATTACTCCATAATCGATGGACACTAAATCTAAAAGAATTAAGCCATATTATGATTTACTAGCCCTATAGAGTATTATTTATTTTATTATGGGCTTTGGAAGCAAGGAGTACTTCAAGACCTTTCTCTGACTGGAAGTCTTTGGGACTCTTTGAGCTTGGCTGTTTGCTTGCAGGTGTTTTATTACCCAACTAGATAACATGTGCTAGTCAATGTGTGGTTCGCTTTCTTTTATATATAGTAACATGCTCTTCAGTCTGGGCAGGACATTAGTCCTGCTTATTACCCAGCTAACAAGCAGAAAACAATACCCTAATCAAGAAATCACCAAGGAGAAAACCATAACCTCGTCAACACTAGCAGGACAAGCATCTTATACAAATATGGAGCAAACCCCAGATTCATTAGCACTGATAACGCTATATAGTTAGATAATGAAACATCTGCAAACAACAACAAAGTTCAGAAAGCACCAAGAACTCCATAATTCAACCAAGTTATGAATATTCTGTTCTATTGGGTCCTCTCACTGATGAATTAATTAAAAATTTTCATCACATTAAAAAAGCCTAATCAGGATTTAGATCAAAATTCTAAATTATATTTACTTCCAACTATATATGAAAATGCTACTTAAATCTGCCACATATAACAGTCCTAATCATTTATAATTACCATTGAAACTAAAATATCCTATGGGTACAGATTATGTTTCATAATATTCTGTTGTTTCCTAGTTCTTTTTATTTTAATATTGCTATTATTATGATTTTAAACATCTTTCTGATGAAATCTTAGCTATTATTAATTAATATAATTAATTACATTTATTTTGTAGCATTTCTTTTAAAAAAGATTGAGTGATTCTTCACCCTCAATTTTATCCTCAGAATATAGTTTACAAGATATCTGCAAGAGGTAACTCTTCACTTTTGCAGCTGTGAATGCAGTGACCAGCAGCCAGGGTCTATACACCACCATATGGAAAGCAATATAACTGCTTGCAGGATCCAATTCTTTTAAATGATGTTGTGCAAGGTGATGATGGATAGCAATCTTATTCAGAATGCTGCCAGAATGCACATATTAAATGTGTAATATGTGCATTGTGGTAGCATTCTGAATACAATTGCTATAGAGGTTACCAGTGGTGGGATTCAAATATGTGAACAACCAGTTTTCTATGTGGATGCTGCTTCTGAAAGTCCATTCTGGGCCTGGGCAATAAAAAATTAGCTACCGGTTCTGCTGAACTGGTGCAAACTGGCTGAATCCCACCACCGGAGGTTACATATTCAGCTAATTTACTTGTATGAAAACCCAATCTCTTTCAGTTTTGCAAGCATTATCAGTTTTAGTTTTATTGATTTTTTTATACATTTCAGTACATTTTGAAGAGATTAATTCCCTCCTCACATACAGATGGAAGAATATTTCTGGATGTAATTCTCTATAGATATGAAATAAGCAATCAAGCAATATAGAAGAAACACACTCTTCCATGAAAGTCACAACATGAATGTTCCCATGTACACATTTATTAATAGATTTGCTCCTCTTGATATAATCAAAATGAATTACATATCAAGAGAGTTTTTGGCTATTTCTATAATGCAATGTGAAATGCAAATGCTATTGATAATTATTTCAAGGGAGAGAATTTTGTCTAAACAAATTAAATACTAAAGTAAGAAGCTGCAGTATCATGTTTATTGAAACTAAAAAATTTTGAATAAAAACATCTACAGAAAAATACCTTTTATTATCTAAATTTATTACTTAACAGCATCCCTTTGATTCATAAAGTAAATGAGTTTAAGGGGCATGGGGAAGCAGAGAAACCTGAATTCCGAAGATGGAATCTCTTCTCTCTGATGCTCCTGGAAGAGAAAAGAGAAACCAATAAGCATAGGCACACTGCCTCAGGTTTTCCCCAGCCATGTCCCATAACTCATCTTCATAATTGGATGACTTGATTGATAGAAATTCTGCCTCAGAAAGCTGTAATAGCTCTGAATCTACTGAATACATCAAAGTTAAGTTATCACACCAAAACAGAAGGAGTTTTCATATTTATTTAGCTGCTCCAATTGGCAAAAAGACTCAAGAACAAGCTATCAAATAGTTCCTCTGTAAACTGTATGGGCTTTTTAAGCCAGAATGAACAGGTCTTCCTAGCATGACATCATAATAGCAATTTCAAAACAGGCCTGCATGAGGTGACCAATATTAGCTGTATTGTGGTACCAAAAACCAGGAGAAGTCTGGTAGCACATTTTCTGACTAATATATTTTATTGAAAGTCATAAGGTTTCATGAAATGCAGCTCATTTCAACAAATATATATAGACTGAGCTGCAGGTCAACTCATCAGTGGCTAAACTGAGATAGGATTTAAACTAGAATGAACAGGGGTAGGATGGTAAGAGAGCAAGAGACAGATTAGCAATGCTATAGGTGGAACGATTACATATTTTATCAATTAACTTTTGTGATATGTTAATTATGTTTGTTAAAATGGGAAGGATCCGCATTGCATCAAATAAACTATAAAGAAAGTTAAACAGGCTGGCAGTGAAAATCCTTCACAGTACATGAGACTGAGTTTTTTTTATCTGCTCCTGGATTTTTACTGCCAGACTGTTTAATTTTCTTTAAAGTTTACTTGATGCAAAATGCGGGTTTTTTGAGATGCCAGACTAGTGTGCATTCATGTGCCTCCAACACCTTTGCTTGCTGCAAAGTCAGATTGCAGCAAGCAAGGGATTGGAATGCATGCTAGTCTGGCCATTTCAGAACTGGTCCAAAAACGAAGGGAATCATTCCCACCCCACCTGATTGCTACGGAGCTTTGTTTCCAAAGACCCTCTGCATAGGCTCCAGACAAACTGAGATCCGGGACTAAAAAAGCAATGGGAGCGAAGGGCTGTTTGAAGGAGGCGGAGGAAGAAGAAAGTGGGAACAGCCACTACCGAACAGGTGAGGCATGACAGATGTTGGGACATGGAAGGCCTGGCTACGGGGGCCCTTCAGCATGGTAAGAGGTTGTGGGGTGCATGGGCAGCTCCTTCCCACCTGCCTCCCCACCTGCTTTGCGGCAGCGGCACTGGTGTGACATAGAAGAAGTGGGGCAGCAGTCACATGGCTCACGGATGGAGCTGTTGGTACTGCCGTCGTGAGGCAGGTGTCAGGAAAAAAGTAAGACATCCCCCGAAAATAAGCCTAATGGATCCTTTGGCACAAAAATAAATATAAGACACATGCTTATTTTTGGGAAAACATGGTAGATTCGGTTGAAAAACAGCTCACGATTTGGTTGAAAATCTGGCGGCGGCCTGGGAAGTGGCCGCTGCCGCAGCATTGGACCGAGTCGTGCCTTTGCGGCCTCTGACCCGGCGCAGATCTCAATTGGCTCCCTGGTTTACCGAGGAGCTGAGAGAGATGAAGCGCCGGAAAAGACGCCTAGAGAGCAGTTGGAGGGTGAGCCGAACCGAATTCGATCGAACACAGGCA